GGGGGGGGGAAAGGAAAAGGAAGGGGATAACCAGGCAGAGACTGCATTTGGGTCTTTGCCTCCTGCAGAATCTTGTGCAAGTCTTGGAGAAGAAAAGGGAAGAGGAGAAAAAGGCATCCAGCAGAAAGGAACGTAGCGGGGATTTGAGGAGAAGTGATGGATCAAAGTGACCTCAGCTGGGTCACTCCCAGTCTTTAGGTTTCACCCCCAGCTCCACGTGACGGCACTGCAGCCGAGGGGGGAGCAGTACCTTGTAGTCCATCTGCTCCGAGCAGTTGAACACATACACCATGATGCCCAGGGCTCGCCCCAAATCTTTCGTGGTCTCCGTCTTGCCAGTGCCTGCAGGGCCCGCAGGTGCTCCACTCATGGTCAGGTGCAGCGACTGAGTCAGAGTGATGTAACATCTTTCACAGCAAAGGACGAAGGAGAAAAGGAAAAAGGATGAGACTTGGTCCAACAGGTCACCATTGGGCTGCAGAGGGATAACACCAGGGCAGTGCACTCAGAGAGCCTTTCTTCTGCACAGCAGTACGTGAGCAGAGTGCACCTGTGAGCTGAGAGTCCTCCTGGGCGTTAATTACCACCTCTGCCCAGCTGTGCTTTCTCCAAGAGACACTCATCGCCTTCCACCGGGGTCTGCCAACCTCTTCACGTCCAGGGTTGTGCTTTCTTTGGATCCTCATACCACTTATTGATATTGGGCATGTCCCAGACAGCATGGGAAAAGGTTGGTCTTTCTGAAAGACCTTCCTCTTTCTTCCCAGTGCTCATCAGCCTAAAGCACCCCTTTCACTGCCACTGACAGAAACCTGCTCAGATGGGCTGTGAATGAACCCACTCAATGCTGCAGCAAGCCCCAAAGCATCTCCCATCGTGCTGATGATGGACACTAGGGAGGTCCCCACATGTGGGTGTCCATACTCCTAGTGTAAGCCACACAGTTGTAGTCAATACGGCCAAAAAACCCCTGATGATGCATGGGAGCTTGGCTCAGCTGACTAACACGGGTGACTAGAGCCAACTGGGATGCTGCTGGCCACTGAAATGTCACGTGGTGTGGAAAGACATGACAAGGGGTAGATTTGTAGATTTGTACGCTTCTGGACTGGCAGCTGGAAGCCAGGTGGGACAAGGCAGAGCATCACAGGTCACTCTAGGTGTCCCCATTGACACAACTGAACAGCGGTAGATGTCTACTTCAAGACAGGACAAAAGCTTTCTAGACTCACCAACCCTATGGGGTGCGGACATCCTGTGCACAGGTAGACCACCCACAGATGAGCATCTTAATCTGTGAACAGAATCCCACCCTGGGATCTGAGGTACAGATACCCCAGAGGGTACCACCATCAAGTCACACCAAGATGATGAAGGGAGTGGAGCATCTCCCTGCTGAGGAAAGGCTGAGGGAGCTGGGGCTCTTTAGCTTGGAGAAGAGGAGACTGAGGGGTGACCTCATTAATGTTTATAAATATGTAAAGGGTGAATGTCAGGAGGATGGAGCCAGGCTCTTCTCAGTGATGCCCAATGGTAGGACAAGGGGCAATGGGTGTGAGCTGGAACACAGGAGGTTCTGCTTAAACTTGAGAAGAAACTTCTTTACAGTGAGGGTGACAGAGCCCTGGGACAGGCTGCCCAGGGAGGGGGTGGAGTCTCCTTCTCTGGAGACATTCAAGACCCACCTGGACGCCTTCCTGTGTGATCTCATTGAGGTTCCTGCTCTGGCAGGGGGATTGGACTGGATGATCTTTCGAGGTCCCTTCCAATCCCCAACATTCTGTGATTGATTCTGTGTGTGTGAGTGGGAGAGCTCTACCACCAGATTGGTGGACCACAGAGAAAGAACAAGAGGGATGCAGGTGACCAAAATAAATCCGTCTTTGGTTGGCAGCTCTCTCTGGCTGCATGGCAAAGCCCAGCTACAACCATGTTTCCCAGGGACTTACCTGTCGGTCAGTGGAGTGATCACAAGCCGAGGGGTGTTGCCCAGGTATTCGTAGGAGTACAGGAACTGGGCATCGCAGATGTTGGCAAAGCAGTGCCGCTCCTCATCCGCCCATCTGTGCCGGAGCTGCGACAGCCAAATGAACGCCTGGGCGTTGTCCACCTGCAACACACCCACAAGCACCCTCGTGGGAAGGCCAGGGATGACAGGCACACACAGCCCGGGTGCCAAACTGGTGACTGCAGTGATGTTTTCATCAGGGATAAACTGGTTTTCATTGCACAGGCAGGTGGGGTGAGGAAGGTCACCTCCCCGCAGCGTGGTGAGAAAGGTCACACCCCCGTCTCCCATCAGCAGAGGGGAGGAACCAAATTAGTGACCACGGTGGGAGAGGAAAAAGGAAATACCCAAGAAAAAAAGCAGCACAAAGAGACTCCTGAATAGGAGTTGTAAGAAGCAGCAAGCCCCCAACACAAGAGAGACCTGGAGCAGCTAGAACAAGTCCAGAGGAGGCCACCAGGATGATGCGAGGGCTGGAGCAGCTCTGCTGTGAGGACAGGCTGAGAGAGTTGGGGCTGTTCAGCCTGGAGAAGAGAAGGCTCTGGGGAGATCTTATAGCAGCCTCCCAGTACCTGAAGGGGCTACAAGAAAGCTGGGGAGGGACTTTTCATAAGGGCAGTTAATGACAAAACAAGGGGAAATGGGTTTAAGCTGAAAGAGGGGAGGTTTAGATGAGATATTAGGAAGAAGTTCTTCACTGTGAGGGTGGTCAGACACTGGAACAGGTTGGCCAGAGAAGCTGTGGCTGCTCCTCCCTGGAAGTGTTCTCGGCCAGGCTGGATGAGGCTTTGAGCAACCTGGTCTAGTGGAAGGTGTCCCTGCTGCTGGCAGGGGGGTTGGGACTGGATGATCTTTAAGGTCCCTTCCAACCCAAACCATTCTATGATTCTATGAAGAGGTTCTTCTAATGCAAACAGAGTGAAAGGAGCAGAGGCTGTCTAGACAGGGAAGAGACCACAGACAGCACCAGAGAAACAGTCTGGGGACAGGGGGACAAGGACAGCCATGGCCAGCACAGTCTCACAACCAGCAGGCAGGCCCAGGTGATGGACCACTTCACCACAAACTGGGCCAAGGCACCACCAGGTTCAGCTGAGCCTTGAAGCCAGAAATCCTGCGAGCAGCCTGGCTGCCTCTGAGAGGACACAGATGACAGTAGAGCCACAACTTAGCACACTCAGGGCACCTTCTAACCCACCTGCAGGGCTGGACACTTGGCACAGTGTCAAGGAGAGGGAAGTACTGTGGGAGAAGGTGTGCAGGACAAGAGAGTCCCAAAGGAGTCCCTGTGGCCCCACACCAGACCAAGAAGGCTCCAAAAAGAAAAGCCCAAATGCTTTTTCTTACTTGATAAAGTCAGAACTGAGACTGCACCCAACAGCCTCCAACACAACACCACCATCCACCACCGTGTGCCTGGACAACAGAACATGGGGCCACACTCTCCCTCCTGGTGTGGATCTGTGGTGAGTACAACAAGCCCCTTGGTGCTACATGGCCATGATACAGGACAGCACTGCAGGCTGACGGGGGCTTTCTGCCCCCCTACCACAAACACAACGTAGAAGTAAATGTAGTTGTGTGTCTCCCACTGAGACAGGCAGTGACCTGAACGGCCCGTGGTTGGCCTGTCACTCCTGCAACCCCCACTCCAACACCCAACACAAGACCATGTTGAGCTGCAAACACAAACCTTCTGCGCGATCATCTTTGCCACCACATCCCGAGCATGCACGTCGATGGTGCATATGGTCATGATCTTCTGCCTGTCACCTTTGGAAAGCTGCCCAATCAGCATGGTAATGAGGGTGTTCAGCTGGGTCACCTGCTTCTTGTGATATTCCTTCATTGCATTCTCGTAGCCTTCTTCCATCCTGGCAAAGGCAATCCCAACCTCAGTTGTCCACCAGATCTGGGTGCAGGAAAGAGCCACCTAGGGAAGAGGGCTGGCTCAGTATCAGAAAACACCAGAGCTTCCTGACATTCAAGAGTCTCTGATCCACGGGGAGATCAAGGATGAAGTATCCATGACGTGAAATTAAGTACTTTTTCATACAGCAGTCACAGCAGAGAGGACAGCAGGGATCTGCCCCACGACATTCATTTAAAACACTGGATCAGTGGTCGGCACATTTAGCAGCTACTTATTAGTAAATCAGCAGCTTTCACACGCCTGACACAGCAGAGGAGGAAGAGCTGGAGAGCACGAGGCTGTCAGAGCTGCAGCTGAGGTGCTCGTTTCTCTCATCAGCCCTCACCACCTCGTTTTCCCGCCGCAGCTCTCGCCCCTCTGGGTGGACAGACTTCATGTGATGGACGGGGTGCAGCCAGCAGTGCCCAAGCCCCTGAGTTGTGAAACCCAAACAGGAGCGTATCCTCCCCAGAGCCCCTGTCAGAGCATGGAGCACAGCCTGGAAACTCCATCAGGAGATTGCCAGGATAAAGGACAACTCATCCATCCTTCCTCCCTCCTGGACAGCACAGCAGAGGCCAGAGACATCCCCACCCACAGCTAGAGGCTATTACTAAAAGCAGGGATGGGCAGGACTGACGGGGAACTTCAGTTCTGGCATTGCCTTTGCCATGCCCCAGAGTGAGAGGAGACCAGGAGCAGGGGCAGGTACCTGGGCAGGGTAGTCAAAGAGCCACTGCTCTCTTGGCTTCTCCTCATAAGCCACAACAGCTTCTGTCATCTCGTCTCTCACAGCAGCCCTCATGCTCTCTAGTACGTGATTCAGCCAGACCTCAACCTGGAGAAGAGATTAAACCA